CATGGGGCCACAGAAAAAGTGATACTCAACTGAATAATGACCAGCTAGCACATGCCCATTCTTCTGTTTCCTGAAAATACAATCACCAAAGACTTCTTGTGGCTTCTGTCCGAACACTCCAGTCCAGGATCTAAGGAAGGCTTCTTTCTTACATTGTTTAGTTTATTTTTTCTTCTATATCTATTAACTATTTTATGACATTTGGCAAATATCCAATTATTGTTGGAGGTTTATAATCAACTTCAGAAACAAATTGTACATTGGTAAACAGGGTCCACAATGTAAAACTTTGGTTTTCACGCTTTAACTTTTTGTCTTTTTTTCAGCCCTACTGAAAAATAAACGTGCTCCTGCCAAGCAATCTATTAAGGTCAAAGTAAACATGAAAATAAATCTAATCTAAAGCAGGTAAATGGCATCTGTTAAATAACCTATTATTTTCCTTTGTGCTAGGGGTTTATAATTTAAATTAAAGGCACATCCCAGAACTACCACCTTTTATAAGGTGCAAAATAGATAAGGCTTTAAAACATGCATTTTAAATACATTTTAATAGTTACCTCAGATTTGATCTCTCTTGCAGTAACTTACTGAGTTTTGAACATCCTCCAGTGATGTCTGCTTCAAATATCTCAGCCAACCCCTAGTCTCAATTGGATAGAAGTAGTGCATATGCAGTTTTGCCTGTAAATAAAGTAATTATTTTTTTAAGTGAGTTAGACCCATGTGCAAGCTGATCATGGCTTCAAATTCACTTAAACAGACAGTATAGGCTCCACAACAACTTTAATGGGTTCAAGTGATTATGGTGCATAGAGTCTACAGGTGTACAGTCCTGCATCAATCCCACCTGTCTGCCACCTGGGCTCTAATGATGAAATGGTGAAAATGGAGCTATATTCTGCTTTTCACCATACCATGGATAGTGGGCAGTGTTAGAGCTGGTATGACTTGGTATAACACTAAGTGGAAGCCTGGTTGCTTGGTACTGAACATCTCTGCTAAACAGTGAGAAACTATTTAACAGTGATGCAGGACCTGCCTATAGACTACAGGAACCATATCCACTTCAATCTCTTGAAGTGGTTATAGTGCCTTCAAATTCCCTTAATGGAAATCAATTGTTAGAAGTTGTTTCTACAAATTAATTCACTCACCAGGGCTAAAAAGCTTACCATATGCTGACTGAAGTGAGAATTACAGAATGTAGAGATAAGATACCTGTTTGTATGATTTTTCTTGTTTGAAAGCTTAATGATTAGCATGTATCTTTGATATTACTAGAAAGATGTTCTATGCAATTTCAGGGTAAGTGCCTATCCAGGAAAAGGAATATTCAGATGTACTATAATAGCAGGCAAGATGCAATCAGCACATCTTGTCTGTCCCTTATATAGTCTCTCACTGTCTTTCTTAGTTGTTCTTTGGGATAATTTCATTCACACCCCACTCACTCTATAATTCCTTTATGTTGTTAACTTTTACATTTCTCCCAGACATCTTTAATTATTTTTGTTAAACGGTATTTTATCATATCACCCATACATTTTTGAGCTTCCAAATTGATATCATGCCTACTTGTAGTATGCTTATTTTTCTAAAGCATTATCATATCATTAGTCTTCACCCTGCCAGTAGAATTTATTTATTTTTAATGCAATAAAAATTGAGAGGGGGCTGTCCCACTTGCCTCTATACATTAAACTCGTGTACAAATGCGTTTCAGCTGATTCGAATTAATCAAATTCCTTTATAAATCTAAGCCCGAATGAACCAATCCATCTGGGATTTGCCTATAAGTTGGGTTTCTCATGCTTTGTGGAGGGCAAAATACTTCATACATCAAAAATAGAAGAGTCTGGATCTGCAAGGCAGTGTTCCAAATTTTCAATGAAAATAAACAGGAGAAAAAGGGAAATTCTCATCAACTTCATTATAGGACCGCTCCAGGCACCGTAATTACTATAGTGTGCTATGGTGGTTATGGTGCTAGGAGTGCCTCCGTTGTAAGTATGGTTTGACTTCTTATTTCAGGTCTGCCACATACCAATCTCTTAGAAGCTTCCATTGGCTCTTTTGAGCTAAGCTCTGCAGTGTAGGGCTAGCTCGTTGGCTGAGAGTGTCAGCTGATCACTCCAGCCAATGAGCTAAGCCTTGCACAGCTGGGCTTAGCTCAGATGGTGAGCTTCTGGCACTCTAGCTAGGGAACTGGAGGCGGCAAGTGGCCACGGTGGACACCAGGCAAGATGTTAAAATGTTATAAAATGGTTTGATTCGTTACAATGGGGTGAGCCGAGATACTCCTGGCACCATAACCACTATACCACATTGCAGTGGTTATCAGGCTTGGAGTGTTCCATTACATATGCAAATAGAAAGAAGAAAACATGTAGCTTATGTTTAAAGAAAAAATAAGTTAGACTTATCAACTACACCAAAATGCATATATGGATAGTAGCATTTTAGGAGGGAAGCACATTTAAAAAAAAGGCAGAATCAAATAATGGTTAATTCATGGCATAATCATTTTGCATAGCTGAGTTACTCATATAACAAAGGTACAGACATGAAATAAATTAATTAAAATAGAGGATACATAAGACTGAACAAGCAGTTGATACATACTTAGCTAGGATGCAAAGTGCTCCTAAATCATTGCTTTTAATGAGCTACTTCAAATCTTGGATTCTGTAGACAGACAAATGTTTATTTGAGTTTAAGTATTAATGTTTCTACCTTATTCCATAGAACTCTCCAAAATCTGAGAAAAAGTACTCACCTTTCAGATCAGATGTTAAATGGCAATAACGGAGAATTTTCCTAGCATTGAGGGCTTCAGTCCTAAAACATTCCCCAGATGGAAAGTCAAAAGAAGGGCATCACTTCAAATATAAGAGCCTGGTCTGATTCCAGCGGTTATGTGTGACAGTCTGAAATCCAGAGCACTTGGGGGAGAGTCACCGATGTCAGAAACATGTATAGATCCCTTTGAAGTTGGACAGCGAACAGCATTTTGCTTGAATTAGAGAATTGGCACATGCTAAATGTCCAGCAGAGAGTTTCAATCCAAAGGAAAATTGTAACATATTCAGACATATCCCACATATGCTCCCATTAACTCTTTACCCCAGGTTTATACAACTAAAATGATACCGCCGTGCTGGTTTAAACACATCATCACACTGGCATGGAAATGTTCCCATACTGTATTTCACCGGCATCACTACGCATACGAGAAAGAACAACGCTGAGATAGGTCCAAGAACATATGTTCGTATGAGAATCTAAGACTTCATGGGGAATCTCACACTGTAAAATAATAATATAAGAATATAGTATATACCGGCCCATGCCTTTTCTAACTGACGCAATTAATTCACTATAATGAAGGCTCTTGTGCGCATATGTGGTTATAGTGGCTGGTGTGGAACATAGCCACTAATGATGGATGAACTAGGCCTGACTCAAGGTATACTGGAGTTATATTTGTGGTTTACTTTATTATTTTATCCAAGATAAAAGTGATACCACTGCTCACCCAGATATCATTTCCAATACATAGTGTGCAAAAGCTAGTATTGAAAATAGTATTAAAGGACCACTCTAGGCACCCAGACCACTTCAGCTTTATGAAGTGGTCTGGGTGCCAGGTCCCTCTAGGATTAACCCTTTTTTTTTTATAAACATAGCAGTTTCAGAGAAACTGCTATGTTTATTCTGAGGGTTAATCCAGCCTCCAGAGCCTCTAGTGGCTGTCTCATTGACAGCCGCTAGAGGCGCTTGCGTGCTTCTCACTGTGAAAATCACAGTGAGAGCACGCAAGCGTCCATAGGAAAGCATTGCAAATGCTTTCCTATGCGACCGGCTGAATGCGCGCGTGGCGCATTCAGCAGATGACGTTGCGAGCAAGGAAGAGAGGAGGAGTACAGCTCCCCGCCCGGTGCTGGAGAAAGGTAAGTGTTTAACCCGTTCTTCTCCCCAGAGCCGGGCGGGAGGGGGACCCTGAGGGTGGGGGCACCCTCAGGGCACTATAGTGCCAGGAAAACGAGTATGTTTTCCTGGCACTATAGTGGTCCTTTAAGTTTGACTCAGCCTGGCAAACTTTACATCTATTTACCTTGACCTCCCAAGCAGCCATAGGCCTTAGTCTTATGCCTAGATTACTTTGGCAGGAACTTAAAGTGAAAACAATCTATTTATTGGACTGGTGGCAGGCTAAAGGAATTGCCTTTCTCAAGGTGTTTAAAAGCCTCACACAATGGGGCAGTTGTAAAAATAATGACGCTATTTGCAATACTGAAGGGTTTATTCACAAACAAAAATTCATTAAAACTTTGCAGTATGCGAGACAGTATGGACACATAAGGATTGAATGAGGATTGAAAGAAGAGATTTGCCGGGAATTCAAAGTGAATATAAAATAAATTTCAAATGTAAATCCAAAATGGCCAAATTGAAAATAGAATTGACTTGGTTTCCTCTGAGTTTAGCATATTCAGTTTGTAACTCACAAGAATTCTTTCTCTAGGGTATAAATGACAATTATCAATAAGATTAGTTTAATCTATCTTTTGCCCCTAACCTTGTATGATATGCATAAAATAGTTGAAGAAGTTGAAGAAAAAGTGACAAAATTGTGACTTTATATTTTGCCAATGTGACATTTTCCAGAATGGCCAAAGAGAATTGTAGTGAATTAATTTAAAAAATAACAGTTTTATCCAGAATGTGTGTATCAAAATAATAATATAATTTCATGCTTGTAATCCACTATATTATATGTATTTTTCCTGTGCTAGAAAAAGTCATATATCTACAACCAAGAACAATTGCATTCCTTTCCCAGTGATATGTTTCATGTTAAGAAAGGTGTATACATACTCTGTAGATGTAGCCGTAGCTTGTTAATAGAATAAAAAAATACCATAATAAGTCATATCATTATGAATAAATAGAACAATGGAAAATAGCACCGCAACCAGTGAAGGTTGCTTACAAAACCAGGAATTCCGCAGAATTGGCAAGAGAACTGCAAATTTTAAGCTCTATTTGCCAAACTGAGTTGGATAATTTTGCCCTAAAATGTGGTGTTTGTTCTTTGCTATTCTTTGCTTAAGCTTCAATATCTTTTACTTAAGTAGCCTTATTTTACTAGCAAGATGACTCAACAAGAAATAATACAATTATAATAATTTGAGGCTTCATTATAAACCAATTTCACCATAACCAAAAATGTATGACGTGAAATAAGTATTGCCTTATATATACAGGTCCTATATTATTTTTGGAATAGTTAAAATAATGGTCTGGCAAGCATCCTGCCCCCATTATAGTGAAATGGGTTAATAAAATTACACTGGGAGATTTACTGAATTACTTACTAATGTGTGAATTCAGTCTGAATTTCAAATTTCAAGGCCAAAGTAGCTGAGATGAAAGCATAGCGGACGGAGAATGTTTACAGTTTGGCTATTTTCACCTTAAACTTGAAATTCTCTTTGCATTCTCACTTTTGTGGACAACCATGTTAATGTCAAAATGCAGAGCTGGTGGGTTTATATATTGTAATCTGGTGTTACTGTTCACAGCCAAGTGCAATTGACTTCCATTTGTTGTTTGTAATATATCCATAAGCATTTTGAAGAGAGTACCCTGTTTTCTGCCAACAAAAGATTGAGGTTTTTCTGGGTCCCCACGGTGCATAACTTTTGTAGTAGATCAAGGCAGTGAAATGTGGGACTGACCACAGACATATTGTAGCTACCACACAAAACACTTACAAGACGCAAGTAAAGCTTTCAGATTAAATTGAATTCTAAGCAAAATTCAAGAAAACGCTATTCAATCTGACACATGGAAAACAGGGCCTTCCCACAACACAAGTAATTAAATATAAGGAAATAAAATAGCTTAAATTGTTTGGAAACAGAGAGGCAACACATTTCGACATTTTGTATGTCGTTAAAAAATGATGCAATTCAATAAAGGCATATTTTAAATGTCTGTGCAGATTAAGTCTGAAATTTCTCCAAATTCACCCCTTATTACATGTCCTGTGAGGGCTGCATACAAAAGTAAGTTTATAAAGGGAATTGTTTGTCTCTCTATGTATAGAAGTTTGCAGAGCTGAAACAGAAGCATATTTAAACTCTCTATAAAAGTGCATATACCTTGTAATTATCCTATATACGCTTAATGTCAGCAATCACTCTGGGGTACGTATTCACTAAACTAATAAAGTATATCAGGTTTTAAAACTTAAGACAAAATGACCAGTTTTGAAAAAGTCCACAAAAACTATATTGACAGCTTGGCTATTTTGACTAAATTTTGCAATACCACAACAATTTGGTGTTTAGAGAATAAACCCCAGTGCATTGTAGTGCATTGAAAACAAGATTTTCAAAATCTGAGTAGTTGAATAGTAGTTTTTTTTCCTAACTCAGCTATTTGAATGTAAATTTTACGTCATTTATGATGTCATGACATCAAGGCTGCTCTGTAGGGGAGAGGTCTGCATATCTCGACCAGTAAAAAGCAGCATCACTTTATTGTAACGCTGTATTAATTTTAGTTCTTTTATGCACCAACATATTCTCAAGTACTATATACAATTTTTCCAGATCATCTTTTTTTGCTGTATATTTTACTGATGTTAATTCTCTGTAATTTAAAGTTCAATGAATAGCAATATTTAAATAAATAAATAAATAATTTGACACCCAGGAACCACGTGTGATGAGGTACCATCTCTTTACCAGTTTAAGGATATTAAACAAAAGCTCATCAGATCAGAAAATGCATTTTAATATATATATATATATTTACATGCATTTAAATAAATAGGTATAAATACATATAAATATAGTTTTAAATTTTACTAGGCTAGTTAAAGTCACCTATATTATCCACCATATTGCCATATCACTCTTACAACAGATTAATTAAATCCATCTTAGTTCATTTAGCACTAGCACTATTTAATTTGTCTCCCACACTGGAATTAGTGCACCTATATTGGGGTTCTGTGATATAGTGGTCACTTAACACAATATGGCCATATGTGTGATAGCATGCTTATGATACAAATGACCTTATTACTTTTTACGCACAATTCAGATGCTATCATTTTGATATATTTATTGTAACTTTTATTTATTTTTATAATTTTTTTAAATACATTTTTACTTTGCTACATATGCACTTTGTATGCATATGCATTTTTGCACATGATTTATGTGTTCACATTTTCTAAATTTCACATGTTATGTGCTTACATTTTTGCACTAGCCATATGTATATGGTTTATTTACTTATATTTTGCACTTGATGCATGTGCCCTTGGGATTACATTAAGCACTTTTATGTCACATGATCAAGATATACTGTTAAGGATTGGGTATTTATTTGCACTAGAGTATTAACTGAATGCTGGTTGGTACACTTATTTTTTACTTAGATTGGGGTTATAGGTTGTGTTTTGGATTTTTATATGGTGGCACTACTGTATAACATCGATGTATTTTTAGGCTGGAAATTGGTAAAACTGTAGAAGGATTGTATTCTTAAGTATTAGGGAATTGAGGTATTAAGAATAAACTAGAATGCTTACACTGAAAGTACAGTTTTTAACTAGTATTTTATAAATTACTGCAGCATATCTGTTCAAAGGCCAACTGTGTTTCAATGCCCTTGTATGTACATGATACAGTGACAATAAAGTTTAATCTGAATATAGGAAAAGTTATATTCTAGAACATTTCTTTCAATCAAGATTATTCACCAAACTCTGAATTATCTCAAATTAATTTAAAGGGACACAATAGTCACCAAAACAACTTTAGCTTAATGAACCCGTTTTGGTGTATAGACCATGCCCCTGCAAACTCACTGCTCAATTCTCTGCAATCTAGGAGTTAAATCACTTTGTTTATGCCGACATACTCACACCTCATTGCATGTGACTTGCACAGCCTTCCTAAACACTTCCTGTAAAGAGAGATCTAATGTTTACACTACCTTTATTGCAAATTCTGTTTCATTTATAGTTTCATATCTCCTACTCTGTTAATAGCTTGCTAGACCCTGCAGGAGCCTCCTGTGTGTAATTACGGTTCAATTTAAAGAACAGGAAATAAAAACTTTTAAAGTAAGTTATATCTGATTGAAAGTGAAAGCAATTTTGTTTCCATGCATGCTGTGTCAGTCACATGCAGGGAGGTGTGGCTAGTTTTGCATAAACAGAAACAAAAGTGATTTAACTCCTAAATGGCAGAGAATTGAGCAGTGAAACCCCAGAGGCATTATATACACACCAAAACTGCTTCATTAAGCTTAAGTTGTTTTGGTGACTATAGTTTCCCTTTGAAATGGAAAAACTAAGGCAAGAAATAGAAAGTTGTGGCTATAGCTAAGTTGGAGAATTTTTCATAATCATCAATATCAACTTAATTATCTGTTTAATGAATAACTCTGTATGCCATACAACTAGCTTCTAGACTTATTGCCACCAGACAGGGGTTGAAATGAGGAGCATTCCTCCTACAAGTAGTATTTAGTATTTAGCAAATTGATGGGACATTTGAATTCTATATAACACTAAATGCAGATATACATGTTCTTAAAACTATAGCTTTTGAATCGTTATGCTCTATACCAGTGGTTCCCAAACCAATCCTCATGGCCCACCAACAGTCCAGGATTTATGTATTTCCCTGTTTTATTCCAATGGAGATACTAACAAAACCTGAACTGTTGGTGGGTCTTTAGGACTGGTTTGGGAAACACTGTTCTATACAATTGACTTGTATTTGTATGTCTTAATATTTTCACCATGATAACTGATTCAATCTAATTCGGATCTCACTGCTTTATTCTTAATGCTTCAATCCAATTAGAAAAAAAAAATATATTTCTTTATACCACTCTAGATTGTAAGCATGGGGAAAGGGCTTCAAAAAATGTTTGTCTCTTTCAAATCAACTTTTTTGGAGGGGCCTGTTTGCCAGCCTCTTGCCTCAGGACTATGGGCCCTGCAATTTACCTTGCCCAATGCACTTTAAAAGGCTCTGTTCATGTGAAGTATTTAAGACTAGTATATGTTACTGTTATATACATAAATGGCAATATATCTGAGTTACCTCTTAGTTACTAAAATATTGAAAAAAAATTGTGACCAAGCTGTAGTATGCAGATAGAAGTAATCACATACCGCTATAGTATCAATAAAATACAAAGAATTATTGAAGAAGCCCAGAAGCAACTGGATATACCACTTTGCAGTTCTTGCCATCGTTGGTAAACAGGCGCAAAAAAGAAAAAATACTAAATTCCTTCCCCTATGGGTATGTAATAATAAGTCACTAACCTTCTTAGTTTCATCTGGTCTCCATGATGGCTCCATTTAGTTACACTGCTTTAGACAGAGAGACTTAAAGCAACCCCACCTTCCCTTGCTGTACAGAGGCCTGAAAGAGTCACCCAGCACAGGGATACATCTGGGCAGCCGGAGAGAGTGGGATGGATCTCTGCACACTGTAGAGTTTCTGTGCACACTACAAGAGCACCATGTAATGCCCTTTATTATATAGCTAACTAGTTGTAGCAAAGCAACTACACTAACTGCATGCTGCAATTTTATAAACATATGCGCAATCTTTCTTTAAACTAAAAACTAGATGATTTTTCAATTATATGTACATGCTTTAAATGTTTTAGGTATCCCTGAACAGCAATCTATAGTTAAATGCCTGCTTTATTCTTGTTTATCAGGTAGCTATTTGTCTCAAACAGTAAATAAATGTTAAGTTTCAACAAATGTATTACAGATTAATTAAAAACTCTACATAACTATTTTATCATAGTATCACGCAATATCTGTAGATTCAGTTTAAACTCTTTTTTTCTCTGTATTATAATTTTTCTATTTTAAATATACAATTTATGTGATTTCAAATTTCAATTTCAACTTTCAATATTCACATCTGCTGCTATTTTTATTCTCGTACATTACTTTTAACATCCAATGTAAGATTGCCCAATGAAACATTTAAATAAGGTGATACATAAGATTGTGAATTTTAACAAAATCAGCCATATGCATTATTCACTTTGCAAAAAAATTATTTTAGGATAAAATTAAATATAGAATAGCTTTTTATTTTCAATAGAAAGATAGCAAGTACAATAACATAGGAAATCACAACAATTTCATGTACATGTTAGGTACACACATACTATGTTTTTGAATTTCTCATTCCTCCTTTACAGAAATATTGGGGACTTAAATATTTATATAGATGATTTCACTTACATTGCAATATTTAAGACAGGGCCTGCAATATTATCTGTAGAAATATAAGAAGTAATAGGAGAAGTATAAATACCATAAAGTAAGTTTGACATAAACACAATTTGTCCAAGTTTTTTTTTTAATACATAATGCCCACTTACATTAAGTACAGTTACATTATGCAAACATGCTATATAGTGATTGCAGGATGTTACTGAATCCTGCAAAGTGAACCTTCCGTTTCTCTCCCCATCTTCTCTTATGTCAGTTCACTGAAGGTAGAAGGGCTGAATTAAGACTGACCAGTGCCAAGGGTAGTTGTGCCCCAGGAGTGTAATTCCCACCAATCTAGGACATAAGTGTTTTCAGTTTAAACATAGCCCTAAGTCTAACCCTAGCTCTAAACATAGCCCTAAGTCTAACCCTAGCCCTGAACATAGGCCTAGCAATTTCTAATTTTAAAGTTCATCCTAACCCTAAACTAAACCCTCATTTTAAAGGGATACTGTAAGGAATACTTTAACTTAAAGGAGCACTATAGTGCGAGGAAAACAAACTTGTTTTCCTGGCACTATCGGGTCATTAGGTCCCCCCCACCCTCAGAGCCCACCTCCCGCTGGGCTCAAGGGGTGAAAAACCCCTTCAGCCACTTACCTTTCTCCACTGCCGGGCTCCCTCAGTGCTGGGGAACTCTCCTCTCCCTGCCGACGTCAGATCTGAATGTCCACGCACGCATTCAAACCACCCATAGGAAAGCATTACTCAATGCTTTCCTATGGACGTCCAGCGTCTTCTCACTGTGATTTTCACAGTGAGAATTGCGGAAGCGCCTCTAATGGCTATCAGTGAGACAGCCACTAGAGGCTGGATTAACCCTAAAATGAGCATGCATATCAAAAAGCCTCAGTGCGTCAATCAGCATCCCCTCGAGAGAGGCATCGAGTCATTGGGGAAAACTCAGAGTCTCCATGCAGAGAAAAGAGAGGCTAAACTTCAGTCCTGCAATGTTTGGACTGAACCAGGAAGTACCTCTAGTGGCTGTCCGAATGACATGTATTACAGGTGGACTTAGTCAGCAATTTAAACACTGGCTTTTCTTTTAGAAAAGGCAGTGTTTACACTGTTGAGACTACAAGGCTCTTGACAACTGGACCTGCAAGGACAGGCTCAGGACTACTTCATTAAGCTATAGTGGTTCTGGTGTCTAACATGTCCCTTTAATACAGCAGTTTTTGTGTATAGACCATGCCTCTACAATCTCACGTTTCTCTGCTATAAAGGGGTTAAATAATTTTCATTATGCAGCCTTAGCCACACCTACTCTCACAAAGACTGACAAAGCCACTGTAAGAAAGGGGTTTAATTTTCAATCATAGCTCCATCAGATCTCATAATGTGTTTACTTTAGCAGATGCTGTCTCCTGCTCTGTTAATTGAACTTGAATCACACACAGGAGGTTGCTGCATGCTCTAGCAGGCAAGTAATAGAGCAGGGGCTATGAACTGTACAATAAGGGACGGTTTAAAAGCAGTCTTCTTTATCAGGAAGTGTGTAGTGAGGTTGTGTGGCTGACAGCTGAGGTAGGTGTGACTAGGGCTGCATAAATAAAACAATTTAACTACTAAATGGGAGAGAATTGAGCAGTGAGATGTCAAAGGGGAAGCTTTATTCACCAAAACCTCTTCATTAAGCTAAAGTTGTTAGAATATTCCTTTACGTCAAAGATGTTTTGTTGCTTAGATTGTCCCTATAAACCATCATGGTCACATTTGTTTCATTTTTGTGTGTTATTTAGGCTCTATAATATTAGAATAATGGCATAAATCACACAGCCTATGGCCTCACAGTTTGTTATGATGTCTTCAAAACCCTTCTTTGTTACTATTTTCCCATAATACACAGTTCACTGTTATCTATCCTCTCTCTGATGCTCTCCTAGTGTTGAACATTACAATAACGTACAATGTCTGCTAATATAATACATATAAAAGAAAAAACCTATTTCCCTGCCTACAAGCCTGTCATAAATATTTACACTTTCAGAAATTAGATGGATAAAGGCGTCATTAATCCTTTTTATACCCTACAGAAACAAAATGCTTTCAGATGAAAGAAGTAAGTCATTTTGCTGAGATCAGATAGTCCGGCAGCTGTTTGGAACTTACTTGTAAGGGTCTATCACTATGTAATGTATTCAGAGTTTGCCCATCCCAAAGAAAATATTACGTAAGTGATTCTAATTACAATATAGAACTCATGCCCTGCTGCTAAAGAGGGGGGTATTGCAATTTTAAACACATTTTAATTGAGAACGTAAAGTACAGAAACAGTTTTCTTTTTCATTAAACTAACATAAATTACAATAGGAAATCTTTTGAGGGCAGTTTCCAATTTTAAATGTCAGTTTTTTTTAAAGTTTATTTTCTTTTTCTTACATTTGATAATGATTTTGGCAGATAGAGCGGGTAAACAAAAGAAAGCAGGGGCACCGATTAAACTCCCTCTGAGCAGGAATTTATAACTTGGATACATTTTAATGGAAATTGGAACGTACAGGAAATGGTATAAAATGGGGACTAAATTAAAATGCAATTATTTTCATAATTGGTCACTAGCACAACAAGGTAGATAGATAGATAGATTTAGCCTAAGTTTTTATAGTTAACAAAAACAAATATATATATATTAAATTAACACAGGCATTGGGGGGTTTAGCATAAATCTATGGATGTTTGTGTATACCTGCACATACACAGCTTTAACATTGCAATCTCTTTTAATATATTTAATTTAATTATAAATGATAAATAATGTATGTATTTATTTCCCTAACACACTAACAGTATAAATCCACCTCTGTACTCTAAGCCATAGTAACATTATTTAAAATCTGTTTGTTTTTACATATTACAGTATTGAAATAATAATGTTAAGTTAGTTAAATAATGTTTACACTGTATCTAAATTTAAAAAAAATATTTAACATACATAGTATTTAAGCAACACACAGACACATATACAAAACGAATATACACCCAAATGAATTGAATAAATGACTCGTTTACATTTGAGGGGGGTTAAGAATGTAGTTTATTGAGTGGAGCTTTTTATTTATCCCATATGCTTATTAATAAGATGGTTGAAGTTGAATGAGCCTGGTTCGAGTTTCCTCAGATGCTAAATATTTGGAGGGGTATGGATGGAGCAAGCCCTGGGCTGGGACACTGCCATACACTAAGAGAGGGAGTATATTATGTAATATTCATTTTATCAATATTTTTGCTGCCCGTGATGGAAATATAGAGCCATTTGGATCAAGCACTCAGCTCATAACTCTTCGTCCCTTCCTTCCCACCTGTCACATTTGAGAATCTTTTAAGCTGTTTGTATGAAACATGTATTATTTGCTTTTGTAAAAAAAAAAAAAAAAAATCTGTCCCTTTTGGTTGCATTATTTTTGTCGACAGTCTTTGAGACTCGTTTATTTTATGGCTGTTATTGTTTGGAGAACTGAGGAAAAACACACACAAACGCCAGGGCAAAATATGGGCTTTGTGAAAGGAAGAGAACGTAGAGGGTTTAAAAAGCCCTGTAATTATCACAGAATGCACAGTGCTGGCTGGGGAGCTGCATTCACTGGGGGCTACACAAACTGTCTGCCGGGTTTGAAGGGTTAATGAACCTGGATCTCTCTATGTTCAATGGGTACAGTTACCAAACTTGTCCCAGTATAACTTCATATGTGTCTGCATTAAATATATATGTATCTGTGTATGTGTTTATGTCTGTGCAATTACATATAATTTTACTTAAAAACAAACATATATGTTGTATTACTTTACAAAAATGAATACAAAATAATATATATACATATAGATTTTATTAGTCTTTTTTATATATAAAATAGTTTTAGTATATATCTATATATGCACCTAGAATTTCATGTCATAGCACTATATTAATATTATATTTAGTATTATATTTATAGATCGTATTCGTATAGTTAAAACATTTCTAATTAATTTGCATAGAAACATTTTTGTATGTATACATTTATTTGTTAACGTGTTTATGTGCCTATGCATGCATTGAATTTAAATATTAACGTAGTTTTATTATAAGTAACTATATATATATGTATATATTGTTAAATCGTTTTTCGGATGGTGAATATTTAAGGAACACTGTGAAACATCTCTAAAGTGGAAGAACTAATGAGTTTGGATTTCAATACTAAATATATTACACATGCGGATAGATTCATAGGCTACCAGCTACACGTATATGGCCATTTAATGGCTATTCGTGTTTAGAATACAAAGTAAATACTCGGTTTCAGGATTTAATAAATGTAGTTATTGAAAATGAAAGCGAGCTAATATTAGATCACTGAAGCATAACATGAATCTTTAAACAAAAACAGACAAAACAAGACACATGTGTACGTGTGTATATAATATAATGAATGCATTAACCTGATAGTTTGAAATTTTGAAAGAAAACAAAATTATATTATTCATGTAAATAGCTTTGACAAATATTATATGTATATTACATAGATATATTATATATATATATATATATATATATATATATATATATATATATACACACAAAAAATATATATTTGTGTTTTGATTTTATTTATTTCATTTTTAACTAGTAAAGTGAAGGCTAGATGTATATGATCTCACTCTGTCTCTATGTAATAATGTGTATTCCCCCTGTTGCAGTGGTTATTACATTAATCCCATATTAGCACATTAGCAGTAGTATATTGGCTATCTCCTAGTTGCAGTGTGCCTGTGTTGTACAGCAGGACATACAGTAAGGAGGCAGCTGAGAAATGTACCTGTTTAATCCACAGTAATGTTGCAGAGCATCCTGTGGCCACAGATTTCAACACCCCCTTCCCCACAGCCTGGCCGAGCCTGCAGCAGTCAGCCCCGGAGAGCCTTCTCACACACAGAGCACAGAGATCACCGTGAACAGCACTGAGCTGCGGTTTAACAACAACAAAACAATAGCTCCATTAACTCCCAGCCAAATACTACTGCTGCTCACTGACTGCACACACATCCCCTCTCCACTGGCCACATGTGGGACATGGGATTTATACAGTGTGAAACCTAGTAAGCTTTAATTTTATATAAAGATTCAAATAAACAATCATGGCTTTCCAACATCATTTTCAGGGATTAATTGAAACTACAAGTAACCGTGTGTTTTTTGTGAATGTGTGAGTGTTTGGTGTGTGTGTGTGTGTGAGTGTTTGTGTGTGTGTGTGTGTATTCTAGTTCCACAAGTTTGTTATTATTGAACCACTTTTGACTTCATGATTATTAATAAAATAACTCACATCTGCCAGGATTTGAGTCCTCCCATTTAAAACTGAAATAATGGCAGTAATTGTTGTAGTATATTTCAGATATGTGTACTTCAGCCAATCTAGACCCTTAATAATGCAGGGCAATATGAATAAATAATATCTCCATTTATAATATTAATACTATTATTAATTCTTATTATTTGCATTGCACACACGCATGAACATTTAGTCCTTATTTTGCATTTCATTTGCCCATTTTCTTTTTGTATTGTGCAGGAAAAAAAAATTGACATTTTCCAATTCAGTATGTGACATTGGATGGGGACTATTCCATAAATGACCTGGAATTCTAAGTGATATTAAAATAAAATTTAGGTCAAAGTAGTTAAATTGGAAACATAGTGATAGATATCGGTTTGGCTTTAAATGTGAAATTCACTTTTTTGGATTACCACCAATTAAGTCGGCGAGCATCTTAATCTCTTAACGACCAATGACATTTCATATGTCATGCGCACGTTATAAAGGGATTGGCCTATCTCCTTGTTGTTAAGAGGTTAAACTCTGATTGAACTATTTTTTTATTGTGGTACTATTGTACTGCTATTTTTTTCTAAATGTAATCATTTTTGAACATGTGAGCAGATGCTATTTGCATTCTGATTGCTAAAGTTTTCTTGCAGACAATTTTTTGTACATTTGCTCATTGTTTGTATTATATTATATAAATGCCATCTTAATATGTGTACTTTTTAATGTACTGTGAAGGAATGGGCATTGCTCCATTTTAACATAGGCAGTTATGAAAACTAACTTTTTTTAGACTGACATGCAATTACAACATTTATAAATACAGGACTGCATATAAAAACATCTGTAATATTACCATTATTTTGGAATGGCATGTGTTTTATGTTTTACTGTTTATGAAACGCTACAGTCCTCTTTGTCATGAAGCTCATTGCCCACTATATTATTATAATATTGGCGGAACCCTAGACAGGAAAAGTTAAATTCATATAAACAAAATCGGTGTGAATATAACAAAAACCAAAACAAGCAAAATTATGAACTAGTTGTAGCTATTCGTAACTCCCAAATTAACGTGACATTCAAAACACCTGCCATAATAAAGAAGTTGGGGCAGGGGAGGTACTATGGCACAAAAATAGTGACGTGAAAATTAAAAAGACGTTAAAGTGGGTCACTGAAAAGAACTCTCTTAAACTGTGATAGATGCCGTAGATAATAACAAAAATTGATTTAAAAGTTATAAAAAGAAAAAGTTTACAATATTTCATTTATTTATCAGACAAACATGTAAACCTAATTGCTCCCAATATTGTAAAAACACAGAACTCATTATGCATATAAAATATCATGGTAACGAAAACCATAGACTGCTGCCTAATCTGAAAGCGCAAATGAAAAAGTGTGAATTGTCCAAAATTCAATGGTAATTCAACATGAATTGAAGATTGTAGGTCAAAATAGCCAGTCTGAATAAAAGATATCTGAATTGGACAATTTTTCCAGTTCCTCTATTTTGGCTTGAAAATCACTTTGAATTCACATGGAGTATGCAATAGTTTACACTTTAGTGATTGGGATATTGTTTTCACAGATAATACATTTAGGAGTTGATGCAAAAGATTATTTACAAAAGCGGCATTGGGAAATCACCAGGGAATTTTACATTTATGGGCAAAACAGCTGAATTGGAAAAAAACTTCGAGTCAGAATGTGTCCTATTTCTCAAAAAATCCTGGTTTAGGGAATAACCCTGTAATATCAAGCTTCATGACTCTTTATAGGGATCTTTAGCTTGGGCAAAATCTGGTGAAATCAGATATAACACCTCCTGCTTAAGGGAAAGTCACGTTGATTTCACTCCTTTAGCTTCGGTGAGACTGGACAAGTCAGGAGCTCAACACTAGGGAAGGACCGTCAAGTATTATGCATTGAGATATGCTGTTTTCTCTTTAAATAGAGGTATCAAAACATCACAATTCAGATCATGACAACAATATATGGGTTCACTAAGCAGTGACTTGTGGGGTCTTGGAATGTCTGAGCGAGAATAGCTACGCTGGAAAAACCATCGGAAACAAAGATTTTATTACAATTTTATTGCAATCCTCCTATTTTGGTCTAAATTTAAATGTTGATTCTACATTCCTTGCCAATTCATGTCCTATGAATAGACTTGTAGCTGTTTATGTGATATTAACCGAATTCCATAATAGTTCGTGAAAAAAATACAGGATTTTTCACAAATTTAAAAACAGTTGAAAATTGACGCGGCAATTATATATTTTAAGCCAAAACAGGTAAACAGTGCAGCTATTTTTCATGCTCACATTTTTTTGTCTCTAAATTTGAAATTCCCTTGCAAATTCTCAACAATTTTTAGTTTAGTGAATAATCATGGGCCTTATTTACATCTTAAAGTAAAAATCAAATTTTGAATGAAAATCATATAAGTGTTTTTTTGCTCAAAAAGGATATTTACATCTTGTAGGTATTTTTTGTGCATTGTGCTTTTCACAAAGCATTTTACAATCATTTCTTTCTCAAACGTTTAGAGTACATAATGAGTTTACTTCCAAAAATTAAGTATGTGCTCACTGACTTTTTTTCAATCAAAAAATTTAATCAAAAGTTGAGTATTCCCCACACACTCTCCTACAGAGCAGTGCTGTAGTAATAGGTGAGAAACAGCTGAGTAGACTCCTCAAAAGTGAAAAATGTCAGCACCAGCACCCACTGATGTTGTCCCTGGTGCTATTATCAAACATCATCAACAAGGGAGGAGAGGGAGCGAGCAGATATACATTAACAGGGGGCAGTTCGTCATTATGACCACAGAACCATCCAGCCACATCTATTAGCAAGAGCCTTGCATCCACATCCATTAGCCAGCCACACACCAACATCCTATAGCCCCAGCTATCTAGCCACATCCATTACATAGCCACACCAACATCTTATAGCTCCAGCTATCTAGCCACATCCATTAGCCAGCCACACAGCAACATCCTATAGCCCCAGCTATCTAGCCACATCCATTACATAGCCACACCAACATCTTATAGCTCCAGCTATCTAGCCACATCCATTAGCCAGCCACACAGCAACATCCTATAGCCCCAGCTATCTAGCCACATCCATTACATAGCCACACCAACATCTTATAGCTCCAGCTATCTAGCCACATCCATTAGCCAGCCACACAGCAACATCCTATAGCCCCAGCTATCTAGCCACATCCATTACATAGCCACACCAACATCTTATAGCTCCAGCTATCTAGCCACATCCATTAGCCAGCCACACAGCAATATTCCATAACCCCAGCCATCTAGCCACATCCATTACCACCAGCCACACACCAACAACCTACAGCCCCAGCTATCTATCCATGTCCATTACCCCCAGCCACACACAAAGATCCTATAGCCCCATCTATCTATCCACATCCATTACCCCCAGCCACACACCAACATCCTATAGCCCCAGCTATCTATCCACATCCACTACCACCTGCCACCCACACAAAGTTACTATAGCCCCAGCCATCTATCCACATCCACTACCACCAGCCACACACAAAGATCCTATAGCCCCAGCCATCTATCCACATCCACTACCACCAGCCATACACAAAGTTCCTATAGCCCCAGCCATCTATCCACATCCACTACCACAAGCCACACACAAAGATCCTATAGCCCCAGCCATCTATCCACATCCACTACCACCAGCCACACACAAAGATCCTATATACAAGATGTAAATCACAGGCAAACATGTTAAAATAACTCATAGTATTTAAAAAACATTTAAAATGGTAATTCCTTTCTCACTTGTTTTACTACAGGATGTTTGTAGGGTTACCTATTTTTGTCTGCAGTTTGTATTTATCAAGGATACGGAGCCGGGAAACTAAACAATATCCCAGCCATTTCAGAAGATGAATAATATTAATTTTTGGGGGAGTATCTTTTCCCTTATCCCCAAAATGACCCTGTTATATCATGGGCCCAATCCAACTCTAAAATCAACTATACAAAGAGTGTTTATTTTAGCACTGCACACTTTCATCTTCAGCATAGAAATAGCAGCTGTAGAACTCCCTCTAGGCCTCGTGATTAATTCTGAAAAGGAAACTGTGCCCCAAAATAACATAATTACCTCAATAAATTGTATATAGTCTCCAGTAAACAGTTCTTTGTACTTTTGTGTCAGATATATAAGTGGGATTTGCTATATGATGTTACTGGGGAAAGACATCCTTTCTATAGAATTCCCTTACTGTTAATCACCAGTAACCTGTGTCTAACATTTTTTTCACCTAGCGTGTGGGAGGCTGCAGTCAGCGGTAAAGTATCTGCCAAACATCTGCAAAGACCTTGTCCTGCCGAGGTATAGCATGGAATAGCAGGCTATGGGATGCAAGCCCATGGTGTCCGCCATATTGGAATGGAAAATACACCAATAAGTGTTCTCTCCCACAGAGTAACCTTGGTCCAGTAGCAATAGGTGCTGTGCTATCCTTCACAAGCAATGGGGAGAACAGTTTGGAACAGAAGATTGCTGGTAGACTAATAAAGGAGGGAACAGCTGCCTCTCATACTGGTGCCACCACAAGGGCCTCAATTAGGCTACAAATTCTGCCCCGACAGGAAACCTTTCAGCATGTTCAGGTTTGCCACCAAAATGCCACCAAATTGTTAGTTGAGCTCACAAGGTTGCTGTGAAATATGTATTAAATTTAATCTGCTGTTCAGCACGGCAGTCAAACCCTGTGCCTACCTTTTATGTGACGCTTCATTTTGTTTTAAAGGAACACTATAGTCACCTAAATTACTTTAGCTAAATAAAGCAGTTTTAGTATATAGATCATTCCCCTGAAATTTCACTGCTCAATTCACTGTCATTTAGGAGTTAAATCACTTTGTTTCTGTTTATTGCAGCCCTAGCCACACCTCCCCTGGCTATGATTGACAGAGCCTGCATGAAAAAAAACTGGTTTCACTTTTAAACAGATATAATTTACCTTAAATAATTGTATCTCAATCTCTAAATTGAACTTTAATCACATATTGTTCTATACACCAAAACTGCTTCATTAAGCTAAACTTGTTCAGGTGACTATAGTGTCCCTTTAAATGTATATTAAAGAGGAACTGTAATTTCCTGGATATTTTAACAATTACATATTTGTGAAGTGTAGAGAATAAAATTAAATGTAGAAATCCATGCCTCTTTATCCTGTAACTGGACACCTCTATCTTAGCTCCCTGCCAGTCATTCTTATACATTCTGCCCTTTCCACCTGGCATAGAGAAAGCTTACATAGAAGTGGGGAAATGTTCACATTTCTCTTGTTCATTTGCAATGTTTGTCCTGGCTTTGCCTTGTCTGAACTGGGTTATGATGTAAATAGCTAAATCCTTAAAATAAGTATTTCTTTTTAAAAACCATCTCATGAAAAAAATGAAAACAATTTATAGGTGATTTTCAATGCTTTTTTTCCAATAGTGTCATTTCTGGAAACTGACGGTTCTCCTTTAAAGAAATAGCAAAAGCCATCGCAAACCAGTTCAATCCAGGCACAGTGAAAGCACTCATAGCAAATGAGGAGGTGAAATAAAACATTGTTTAATTTCTCCTCTACTCTGTATGCTTTTTTATTTTTATTGCCAGGCGCAAATAACAGCGCTTATAACAGTAATAGAGAGGGAGGTAAGATGGAGACTCGCTGTTACAAATTAACACAGAAATGTGGGTGGCTTTTTACACTTAATTTTATGTGGGTTTTTTGTGTGCTTTTTAGAACTCATAAACACATATGTATTAATTATTATATATATAGCATTATTAAACAAAATAAACAACAACATACATTTTTTTCCGTCATGGCATTGTCACCAACATAGGCACTGTTGCATACCTTTGTGTGCATATGTACTAAGAATGAATCACATAGTATCATTAACAAGAAAATTGACACACCCTTCACACATTAAGCACTTCAGCAAACAAAAGTACTTTAGGGCTCTTGAGTTTCCCTTTAAATAGAGGGAGACACTGTTCCCTGTCCAATGCATTTATCAAACCATGGCTTCAATTTAATATTGTTAGGTTAAAAATATTGTTGGATTAAAAACATATATATATACATATAACCTACAAAATACAGAATCCAGCGCACTTGCTTATTCACTAAACAATGATTTAAAATCTCAAAGATTGTAATAGTTTTATTTAAAACCACCTCACTTGGGCAATAAATAATGAGGGTTTAGTTACATTATATGATCATACATTGCATAAGCCTGCCACAACGTCAATGTACCCCATTCTTGGCAGGTCCTACTCTAGCAGCCTAATGCCTGCCCTTATGAGATCAGTCCACTTACTTGGGAAATATCCTGGGACTCTCTGCAAACCAAGCTAAATAGGGTCCTGGAATGAGGCATCTGTGACAGGAAGGGGTGCAAAACCAAGGAGTTGGCCTGGACTCCCAAATATATAAATTAAACCAAGAGGGCTGCACTCACCTGAACATGCATACGTTATAGGGTGCTATAATATATATATATATATATATATATATATATTTGATATATTTTTGACATTTGAATATGTTGAAAAAATAATTTCAACGGTGTTTCCAACCATGACATATTTTGGAAAGCTTATCCAACAACATCAAATTGAGGCCAGTATTTAAAACTGGACATGACTATACTTGTAGGCCTTATTATCAGATTTTATGGTAATTTTTGCTTTGTTTTGGCTGTATCTACTCTCTCACTCCTAATAAAGAGTTCTGAATTAAAAACCCCAGGAAGTGACTATTTTTCTTTAAATGAGGTTTCTTAAAGTTTGGCCAGCTAGTTATGAATCTGTATGTTATTGCTGCCTGTACTTGGACATTCAAGCTCCGGACAATGTTTGGTTATTAGAATCAGCTTTATGGGAAAGTTCTTTAATGATTGTGTTCTCTGTTGTTCAACCTACACCATAGGTTGGCAAAATTAACAACACTATTGTCTAACTCTAGCACAAGGCTGCCCAAAAGGTAGATCCC